TAAGAGAATATGCGACCGAGACCAACAGCCCACAAAGCCTTGAGAATTTACAGTCTGACTCCTTACAGGAAAAACTCAAATCACATTTTCAAATGTTAATTATGCATGTGCTATGAGCATGTTACTTTTTTTCTCCTGTGCTGTATCCATCATTTAAGTCAAGTTCCCTCTTAAAGGGGGAAAGGGGGACAAGAGAAACACGAAGCCTGTTAAATAGTCACAAATTCTCTCATCATTAATCCTAAAGGTGGGTGTTAAACCCAGGAGTAGATTCAGTGAACTGCACCAAATTACTTGGCCACCACAACGAACAGGGACTTCAGACCTCAGTCTGTCCCAAACCTAATCACTGCTACCATTATTAGCAAGCCATACCCTGCTCACCTAAGCCCAAAGAAGGAAGGTGATGCTGGCTGGTCCTTCTCAGAAGGTCGGCATATTTGCATATTGCTTGTCTAATTCTTCTCATTGGTCTGGAGCAGGTCTTCATATTTTCTCTAGATAGCCTGATACTGTTCTCCCCTAACAGTCTTACAGCCTAGGGCTTCTGAGATAGGGAGGATGGAAGTACAGTATCTGTATGGATGCTTGCTTCTAGGGGAATATCACAAATCAGACTAGATACCACTGGCTGGATTTTGTTCTTTCTCTCAAGTGGAGCAGATGTGAAGAGAAATGGAAGCTTTAAAACATCAAAAATTTAACAAATGGCTAAATCAAGTTTACAACAGACTAAAGATTGACCCCTGTACAATACTGTCATTCCAAAAGCTCGGTCCTTTAAGTAAGTAAATGACAACAATGAAAAGTACATCTCGAGCAAGCTGGCTTAAATGGAAATCTAAGAAATAGAAGGGAGCGCTGAAAATGTCCCAAGAGAAGGAGGTTCAACAGTAGGAAAGTGAGGAGGATCGCACTCATCTTCAGATTGCCCCTGATCTTGGGGTTCTAGTCCTCCAGAGGTTTAGGCCGTAGGCCTCCAATTTCTAGCCTTTATGTCCATATAGACTTGAATCTCTAGGTCTTGGGCTTGGACTTAGCTTAAGTTTTGTGTCTTATGACGCAGGTCTCAAGTTCTTAGACTTCGCATGAGTTCTGTAGAAGCAGCCCCTCTTATGGGTCGTCAGCATTCTGTCCATCCAGCCAGCTCAGACAGGCCTTCTGTGTATCTTGGTCCTTAAGTCTCAAGTCACGAAACATCTGTCTTCCATTTTGGGTCTTTTCATGTGTTCAGTTCTACTTTAATCCTGCTGTCAGATTATTTCGCTGGGCAGTCTGGCATGAGGAGCAGCTCCACTGGTGACATTCTGTAACTGTTGGGAGGGGGCTAAAAAGACCCTCTGTCATGCAAAGAGAAGATTAGAGTAAGGGAGGTAGACACAGACTCGTAAAGAGACTGAAATGCTCAGAGTGAGTAGAAAGGAGGGAGTTGAAAAGAAAATACAAGTAAGCACAAAGCAATGGAATAATGCTGGGACCAGAAATCACAAATAGCAAAGAGACACAGCCACAAAGGGAAAAAGGAGACGCAGTAAAGAGAATCATGTGCTAAGAATATAAACAGCAGAAAGAAAAATGTGAAATGGTGAGTCAAAGGGCTGACAAACATCACACAGAAAAAACAAGTGACCTGAGTACAAGGAAAGGAGAGGGGTGAATACCATGTGTGACCAGAAGGGGGCAGGAGAGGCAGAAAACGTGAAAGAAGAGCTAATAGAAATAGCAACCACATCTAACCAAGACAAGGCATAGATCACACAGGCACCAGAGCAGAAAACAAGACAAAAGATACACTGTAGAGGAGGGAAAGACACACAACGGAGACATAGACATCAAAGCAAGGAAGAAAGACACACACGGTAAGGAAGACATGCACGGTAAGGAAGAAAGACACACACGTTAAGGAAGAAAGACACACACGTTAAGGAAGAAAGACACACACGGTAAGGAAGAAAGACACACACGGTAAGGAAGAAAGACATGCACGGTAAGGAAGAAAGACACGCACGGTAAGGAAGAAAGACACGCACGGTAAGGAAGAAAGACACGCACGTAAGGAAGAAAGACACACACGTAAGGAAGAAAGACACACACGTAAGGAAGAAAGACACACACGGTAAGGAAGAAAGACACGCACGTAAGGAAGAAAGACACGCACGGTAAGGAAGAAAGACACGCACGTAAGGAAGAAAGACACACACGGTAAGGAAGAAAGACACGCACGGTAAGGAAGAAAGACACGCACGTAAGGAAGAAAGACACACACGGTAAGGAAGAAAGACACGCACGGTAAGGAAGAAAGACACGCACGTAAGGAAGAAAGACACACACGGTAAGGAAGAAAGACACGCACGTAAGGAAGAAAGACACGCACGTAAGGAAGAAAGACACACACGGTAAGGAAGAAAGACACACACGTAAGGAAGAAAGACACGCACATAAGGAAGAAAGACACGCACGGTAAGGAAGAAAGACACGCACGGTAAGGAAGAAAGACACGCACGTAAGGAAGAAAGACACGCACGTAAGGAAGAAAGGCATAAATGTTAAGGAAGAAAGACATACATGGCAAGAAAGAAAGGCATACATGGCAAGGAAGAAAGACACACAAAGCAAGGAAGAAATAGATACATCAAAGAATTAGACATGCAAAGCTAGGAAGAAATAGAATGAAGAAGAATTAGACACGCAAAGCAAAGAAGAAATAGATGCATAGAACAATGAAGAAATAGACATACAACATAATACACTTACAATCGAAAGAAGTAAGCAAAGTTCAACAATAAGAGGGTAAGAAAAGAAACATGAGATGGGGAAGGGGGAGAAAAAAGTGCCATTAGTACAGTAACGATTCGCATACCAGTACTACCTATACTACTCCTTATAAAAGTATATCACAATCCCTACTATACCAAGGTAGACAGTCTTCTGCTTATGCATACTTTTTTAGCTTAGGGATTCTTTAACATAGACACAAACAAGCATGTCAACTCTGCTCACTACAGAATGTTTGTACTCACTTAACATTGTGCCAATTGGCCTTATTACGTAACTTCAGGGTATACATTTTACTTGCCAGGCACTAAGTACTTTCCATTCATGATTTCGCTTGACCTTCACAAACAGACAACAAGTCTTACACTGGCAAAGGTCATACAACTAAGGAGTAGAAAATTTAAACACAGGATGACCACCTCTTAATATTCTGTTAAATGGACTTACTAATTTCCATAAGCGCCAAATGTCACATGTGACTGTATATTTTAATTGTTAGCCTTACTTTCCCCATCATTTTAAGAAAATGGGCTTGGTTTTTACATCCTTCACAATTATAATGGCTACTTCAGGGTTTTACACAAAATCTTAACTGTTAAATTCTCACAGATGGGGGCTGGAGAGATGGCTCAGTGGTTAAGAACACTAACTATTCTTCCAGAGGTCCTGAGTTCAATTCCCGGCAACCACATGGTGGCTCACAACCACCTTGAATGAGATCTGGTGCCCTCTGCTGGCATGCAGGCAGAAAGGCTGTATACATAATAAATAAAAATTTTTTTAAAAAAATTCTCACAGATGGAGCAAAAAAAAAAAAATCCTTTCAGCAGAAAACAAACTCCTTAAGGCTTTCCTATATTTAAGCCTCTAAGAATGGCAGAGTACCAAGCCAAAAAGACATCTAATGCAACTGGTGAGCAGACTAGAGTTTGAGTCGCTGATGTGAACCCAGTTGATAATGTGGAAGCCTGCTCATCTTCCATCCCGGATTTGTCCCTACTTCACAGCATCACATTAGACCACCAGACTCCACCCAGCACCATCTTATGCCAATCCTCAGAGGACTGCAAAGCTGGTAACTTACTTCATTCTGCTGTTATTTTAAGATGCAGGCATGTTGGTCCTTGGCTCATAAAGCTGGCTTCCTTTCATGACCCTGCAGAAGACCCAGCTTTCTGCTTTGGGGAAGGATGATGACCTAGTAGATAGAGCTACAGAGAACAAAAGAAGCTATATGAATGTCAGAAAAGTACTAGAGGGTCCTGGTTCTTTTCAACCAGGTTTACATTAGTAGTTAGAGGCATTCGTCAACATTTATGTTAGCAGAAAAAGAGGAGATACTCACTGGATAGTCTATCCCATGGGCAGCGCAATTAATCTTGAAGTGTTCAAACAGTTGGTAAGGTTCTCCTCCAGAGCTTCCAGGGACTTTTGAGAACCAGATAAGACAGAACAGCTTGCTCATGAAGTCAGTGCCACTACTGAGGCAGCTTTTCTCCTAGAAGAACCATTTGCACAGTTAGTTTAGTTACAATTACCTACTACATCATGCAGGTCTACCCTACACACCCACCTCCAGTCTTACAGCCAAGACGCTTCCCTGTTAGTCAGGAAGCAGTTCTTATCAAAAAATGACACAGGAAAATGATAAATATAACTCAAGTGTGGGGCTGGAAAGATGACTCGTTGGTTAAGAGCACTGGCTGTTCTTCCAGAGGTCCCGAGTTCAATTCCCAGCAACCACATGGTGGCTCACATCCATCTGTCGAGATGTGGTGCCCTCTTCTGGCATGAAAGTGTACATGCAAGCAGAACACTCATACATTAAAAAAATAAACTCAAAACATAACTCAAGTAAAAGGCTGACTACAGTGGAAAACAAGATCAAAATTAAAATTATTTTTCACACTCAGGGTTAGGGTTCAATTCCCAGCAACCACACGGTGGCTCCCAACCATCTATAATGGGATCTGGTGACCTCTTCTGGTGTGCAGGCGTACAGACTGACAGAGCACGCTGAATACACAATTCCCAGCAACCACATGGTGGCTCACATCAATCTGTCATGATATCTGCTGCCCTCTTCTGGTATGAAGGTGTACATGCAAACAGAACACTCATACATTAAAAAAATAAACTCAAAACATAATTCAAGTAAAAGGCTGACTACAATGGAAAACGAGATCAAAATTAAAACTACTCATTACACTGTCCCAGAAAACTTACCTATTGTGATGTAGGGTAGCTATATTTGACTCTATCTTCCTTGCTGGGTTCAGCAAAGTGTCTCACTAAAATCTCCAGGGATAGGGCTATTGTCCAGTGGTGTCGAGCTATTCCCCTGGAGGATCCTCATGCCCCATCTCCACCTAGGGATCGTCAAAGGGAATAGGTCACCAGCACTGGAAAGCAACAAGCCCAAACTTCTTGGGGAAGATCTGGAAAAGAGGTAAAAGAAAAACAAATTATTGAAATGAAGTACATTGGGAAATTTGCTTTAGTATGTATGTAGTATCCAACAGTTGTGTTAATCCTATAGGCTTTTTGGTAGTGGTGGTATGGCTTGGAAGGTAGACCCTTACAGATTTGTAGATCTTTATAGTTATGGCTATGGACATAGGGACATAAGATTTGCCCCGGGTGAGCTCCTTTCTGCCTTTATTCTCTATTGTGTACCCATGAGTAAAACTTTAGTATAGATTGTTTAAGCTCTTGTACATTCATCATCAAATACACTGAGAGTAAAGAGGTTAAGCAAATTAGAGTTGAAACCAGTGCAAGGAGAAGCCACGCTTTCTCAACCAAGTAGGCTATGAAGCCACTTAGAAAATCTTCATCCAGATCCCCTGTGTTCTGTAAGAATCCTCCATCATGTTGCCCCTGACTGCTTTGAGAAGTGTTATTTTAAGCCGGTCATTGGTGGCACACGCCTTTAATCCCAGCAATCAGGAGGCAGAGGCAGGCGAGTTCCAGGACAGCCTCCAAAACACAATACAGAGAAACCCTCTCTCAAAAGAGAGAGAGAAAGAGAAACTGAGCAGTTCACATTAATCAACGCCAAAATGAATAGAACTGTGTCTTGCTCAACCCTTATGGTATGTCTCTAGCAACTGCTGTAGCATTGCACCTCCAGACTTCAAGACTATTCAGAGAAACCAGAATTGTGACAGGCCTACAAAATGTCATTTATGATAACAGCTATATCAAAACTACAAAAGGAGCCGGGCGTTGGTGTTGCATGCCTTTAATCCCAGCACTCGGGAGGCAGAGGCAGTTGGATCTCTGTGAGTTCAAGGCCGGGCTGGACCGACAGCCTCCAAAACAATACGGAGAAACCCTGTCTCGTAAAACCAAAAAAAAAAAAAAAAAAAAAAAAAAAGACAGAAACTCAAAGAATAGGCACATCTCCAAAGTACCTGTTTCTCCATATGTCCCTCCAAGTTATTTGCTGAGGTTGGCTAGAGCATGTCCGGAGGCTCCAGAAGGAAATGAGCTGAATTTGAATGAAGCCTGAGTCAGCTGCTTGGAATCCTTGAGTCTCGTGCTGTGTTTGGTCCCTGAAAGAAAGACAAGGCTTCCATTAGACTACAAAAACTTTTGAGAAAACCCCAGCTGTTAAAAGAAAACAACACATTAGACACGTAAAAGTAGATATTATCTCAATCAACCAAGTTATCAACTCCAACTCAGTACTCACCTTTGGATGCTGGCTAGCATTCATCCCTCTAAAATCTGGCCATTGTTCTTCAGTCGGAGCACAAAACCAACTCCAAATTCATCCCTAGAAAAACAATTCCAATGATAGTTATACCCTGATACCAAAAGATAATTTGATTAGTAGCAATACAATGCTTATATGCACAGACCAGTGTTTCATGAATTGGGATGGTAAGAACTTGGGGTTGGGAGTTGTGGATTCCTCAGTTTTTATGAGTTGTTTTTTTTTAAAGATTTATTTATCACATGCAGTGTTCTGCCTGCATGCCAGAAGAGGGCACCAGATTGAATTATAGATGGTTGTGAGCCACCATGTGGTTGCTGGGAATTGAACTCAGGACCCCTGGAAGAGCAGTCAGTGCTCTTAGAGCTATCTCTCCAGCCCCGAGTTGTGAAAAGGAAAAAAAAGTAAAGTCTTTGATATTAAAAAATGTCTACATTTCAAAGACCTTTCGTTTATTTTCCTTTTTTTTAATGGGCTTTCTCATTCCCTGTTTTGTTTAAACTTTTGAAGTTCCCTGATGACTAACTACACAGATAAGGACAAGGGACAGGCAGAATAGGCTCACTAGACTGGGAGGGCAGGGTGCAGGCTGGGTAGTGGTTAGATTATAGGGCAGTGAACGTGCAGAGGCCTGGTCTGCTTCTGCCACAGGGTTTTGCACAATCAGCTAGCAAAAAGCACTACTTCATAGGCATCTTCTGGTCTACTTGTTCTACTGGGTTCTTTGTTTACAAATTCCTGAAAGGTCTGGGATAAGCCATTGGACAGCATGGGAGGAAGTTCATTCACTCTTAATGTAGTCCAGGCCGCCTGAAGATGGTGATGGCTGGCTGACTTTCCATTCCATGATTGCCTACCATGAGAGCTAGATCAGGACACGTTTTATGGGACTCTTTCTACTCTACAAAATATGGCCTCAAGATCCTTAGTTTTGTGGGGTGGCACCTCTTTTAAAGATTTATTATGCATTCAGTGTTCTGTCTGCATTTATCTCTGCTGACCACTAGAGGGCACAAGATCTCACTACAGATGGTTGTGAGCAATCATGCACTTGCTGAACTCAGGACCTCTGGAAGAGCAGCTAGTGTTCTTAACACTCTCCATTGAAAAGCAATGGCATGGTCTTTGTTTCCCTAGGGATTCAATAACACTGTATTGTCCCCAAATCAGCCAAACTATGTGAAGCATTTAGAAGCTGTGAGGAAAATTTACAGAGTACTAGAGATCATTTACATGCCTGGGGGCAAAAGAAAACAATTACAAAAAGTGAAGTGTTATGGGCAAGGATTTTTTTCAGCTGGGCTTTGTTGTATGCCAAGAATAAGTGTTTAGTTTTTTTTTAATTGAAAAACGTGGGGAGGGGCTGGGAGTGGTGGCACTTGCCTTTAACCCAAGCGCTCCCTAGGCAGGGCTGCAGGCAGAACTCCCTAGAAGTGCTTCAAAGGAGGCTCGCAAGGCTCTGCAGGTTCGCAAGGCAGGCTCGCGAGGCAGAGGCAGAAGGATCTCTTGAGTTTGAAGCCAGCCTGGTCTACTGAGTGAGTTCCAGTAGTTTGGGCAACCAAAACTACACAGAGAAACCCTGTCTCAGAAATGAATTTTTAAAAGGAAAGTGGAAAGGAGGACACAAACTACAGCATGAAGTAGAATACAGCAAGGTTTGCTGGTAAAACTTATTCTTCTCCATTGCCCTTTTGGTAAAATTCAGTAAAAATGGCTAGAAGAGCCAAATGATCACATTTGTACTCCCCGTTCCTAAACTTAGTTCCCAAGCTCAAGCTTCTGGCATTTAGTCACCAGCCCTTGCCATCTTTGGCATATAGCCAAGTATAATGGCTGGGTCCTTTACTCTTAATATGTACCTCTTACAGGCATGGAAAGATAAACAGTTGGCATTCAAATCAACCAACTGGACTACCCAGATGGCACTAGTAATCTGGATCAAGGGCGACCAGGAAGTGCACTTTCTTCTTTAAGAAGAAATCATGATCTTCCAACCCCAGTAGACTTCCTAAAATATTTATAATTCACGAGACAATACTTGACCATCATTTCCTAAAACGATTTCAAGTGTGTTTAAATCGCATCAAGTCTTCAACAACACAACCCTCTCAGGGGAGAAATTACATAAGGTATCATCCCTTCTCATTTCAGTGTACCGTGGCACAGGCCTGGGCACACAATATTAACTCTACAGTTTCATTGGCATACATATGAAGAGCTTCCAACTTGTCACTCTGTCTGACTTCAGTAGGTGGCACATAAGAGGAAGAAAATCAAATAGGAAGGATTGTTTAATAGCTACAAAGTAGTACTTACTGTATTCTGAACGGCCAGTCTTCTGGACCTGTCTGAAGAGCTAAAGTGCAACCTGAACGGGGTAGATTTCTTGATGTCCTTCTCAGAAAAATAGTATCATTTTCTCAGTAACTTTCAAGAATTGCTGTTGTGATAACTATTTTCATCAGCAATGTCACATTAAATACTCAGCAAACTGGCAAGATGGCTCAGAGGGTAAAGGCACTTGCTGCCCAACCTGACGATCCGAGGTTGATCTCCAGGACCCAGAAGATAGAAGAACCAGATCCCGTTGCCCTCTGGTCATTATGTGAATGCACAAGCACACAAATACACACTCTCTCACACACAGTAAAGAACAAAACCAAGAAGCTTAAATATTCGGCGGCAGCAAAACACCCTTCCTGCTAGAGACAGGTATTTTGTTACTAAGCAGATCTCTCTTCGAAGTGTTCTCTCAAAGGAATGATTAACTCTTGGCAGATATGTTTTAAAAGTGGGGAAACAGGCTTCATTAATTTTAAAGTTCCCACTTTAGGGTGGTTTCAAGCTACTTGAAATTATTGCCAGCACTTAATGTCGGATATAGTGAATTAACCAAATGTGATGGCAACTTGGCATGTTTTCTCATTTAATACTTTCACAGCCACTTTTTGAAAATAAGTAGGAGCTGGTATTCAATAGGTCAGACCAAATTTAAAGATTAGAAAGTTTGGCCATTTTCTTAAAAGATAACGACACTAAAGGCCATACAAAGGCTGATTTTATTTTTAAACTGGCAGTACAGATCAAGCATACTGGTCTTAAGCATTCCATTCTAGAACTGCTTTGAAGGTACTGGAATAGCAACACATATAGGGATTTAGCCACAGACTCACCACCCTCAGTAAAATGAGAGACACTGCTGGGTGATCAGATATAATATAAATAACTATTTTTACCTCAAAAAAGCTAATCATCACATAATCAATTCCACCTTGCGATCCAAATATCTTTCTTAAGGAATAAACCATCAACAACTTTTCTGGCAGTTGGCACTGTGCAGTAGCAATATAAAAAAGAGAAACGAGTTTGGGTTTCTTAAGCAGGCAGCTGGTTCCTGGAGGAAGAATGTAAAGAAAGTGCTAGCTCAGCATCCTTTCTTCTCTGGGAGACAATTTTCAGTTGATACTGTGAAAGGAAAGCCCCATACAAAAGGTGGCAATCCAGCTCCCTGAGCCTGAAATATTTTTTGCACAATAAGGCATTAATAAAGGCGGGCAGGAATGACCCTGGCCCTAGAATGTGCCAGCAGTTGGAATCGGAGTAATTAAGAAATGCAAACTAAAGGGCGAAGGTTCATCCACCTGGTTTTGGCCTGCTTTTGATATTTAACATGTATAAATATATCCAAGTAGTAGGGGGAGCCTCTTGGGCAAATGGGCTGAAAGCTGGGACAAATCCATGGGTACTGTGTTCATTGATGACCCACAGGGTGTTTATTGGGTAATGACAGAATAATGCAGTAGAGGTATTTCTACTCAATGGGTAGGACCAAAGAGAGTGCAACTGAAATATTGTAGTCACATGAAGTGGGGAAACTGATGGCCTCTGGGATTGTCGACTCTAAGCCAAGAGAAGGGTCTTGCCCACTCAATATTACTCAACAGAGAAGCAGAAGGGAGAGTGATGGCACTGGGGAAAGGGTGCAAAATCTTCAACAACTGGATTGTGAGAATTAGTAGTCCATAAGAGTGGTCCATGGACAAGCTAGGGCCTGGGCAAAGGGAAGACTATGAGATCGTGGCTATTTAGGGTTTATGTACTGGATCGATGCAAAAGGGATTGGAAATATGGGTCATTGTTGGGTTACAAAGCATAGACATTGCAGCATTTTACCTTACTATGCCAACAGAAAACTAGAGGATATGTCAGAGTACAAAATAAACCATCAAGATCTGCCATTGTGCCTATTAATAGTCCCAAAATAAGCCATTGGTCATAGTCACTGTGCTCCTTTTTAATGGTCCCAGACATATTAGATGGATCAGCAGCCCCTGCAGTAATGCGGGCAGTATGAGAACATAGGATTCTAGGCATTGGTAATTAAAAAATATACACACTAACAATTCAGGCGTTTAGTTGGTTGGTATCTCTGATGGTATGCAAAGAGAGTAGAGATGTCCAAGTAATAGCCGGTACTCTACCACTGGCGTTGCTGCACAGTCGTCATCCAGATGCTGAGGTTGTAAACAGTTAGCAGTCCCCAGCAGCCCCAGTCAAAAGGTAGAAGCTTAGGAACCTTTTCTGCTACACGGGTCCATATGTGTAAGCGTACATATTAATATTCACAAGAGAAGTGCTCAAAATAGTTAACATGCCTCTGATGTCAAAGGAGTACAAGGATGTGAAATCCTATTCCAAAGCTAAGGATGGACAACTCTGTTAACGCACATTGAAGCCCAAATGAAGGGTACAGAATTTTTAAAAAGCCTCTTTCTGCCAGAAAGCAGAGAAAGAGAGTACAGGCTTTCAGATACAAGAAGTGTTTAGACACTGTGCATTCGAACTCCTCCACTTCCTGGTGAAGGTAATTAAGGAAGTGAGTGGGACCCTTTTCTAGTGCACAGAGCAGGAGGAAATGCATATGCATGCATATAACATATAGTACATACTAACAGTCCAAAAGAAAGCAGCCTTGGTTGATCAGGGTACCCTGCCATACTGCAAAGGACAGGTGAAGGAGTATGGCTGTCTACTGACAAAGGCAAAGGACATTTTCCACTGTATAAATTAATAATGGTCCACTTGCGGGACCTTGGGGAAAACAGTAGTATCCCTTGCAGTAGTGCAAAAGAGACACAGTAGTAGTAAGGTTGTGGAGAACTGCACATTAACTGTCCAAATATTTTTATTAAAATGAATGAATCATGTCCCTATTATGTACATTAATGTTCAAGGGACATCATATGGTTAATTAAATCCACACCTTTCATACACATATCAAGACCTTAAAGTAATGTACACTCCTAGAAATCAAAGGGTGTGGAAAGGAAAAGGTATCCTTATCCAGTGTCCAGGAAGATGAACAGTCAAGAGATTAGTGACCCTTGCTGTACTGCAGAAGGGTCTGAGAGTAAGACCTTAATTCAAATGGAATGCGTCATGTGCAGTTTATGGCCCATTAATTGTGGCTTTACACTTTGCTCGTTCAGACATAAGGGTCTTTGGCAACATACATTCCCTGGTGAAAGGGAAAGGCACAAGGGTGAGGAGTGATTTCCTTCTGTAGTGAACAGAAAAGGACAAAGACAATCAGACATTATTAGCAAGCCACAAAATGGAACCTTATAGGTCAACACAATTGCTGTACTTCAAAGTGAGGGTAAAACTGATCCTGCTGAAGTTGCCATTATGTACATTAGCAGGTTAAGAAAGTGGCTTTAAGTGAACAGCACATAGTTCCATTAAATGAAGGACCACTGATGATATTGGAATCCTTCAAGAAAGAGACTACAGTGCTAGTGAGTCTCTTTGCTTTGATACACATATGGGAGTTCTGATCTAAAAGGCACAACTGTGGACATAATATGTACAAGACAATTAAACTGTGCACATTTACTGTGTTAAGGATCTAAGTACTAGGCACCTCCTGCTGCAGTACAAATGAGTACCTAAGGTCTTTATACAATGCATACCACTACAGCAAAATGAAGTATGCACATTTACAATCTGAGAGAGTGCAGGGCATGGTGGGAGACACCCGTTATGCCAACACTTGGGAAGTAAAGGCTTGATCCTAAACTCAAGGCCAGCCTGGAAATTAAAAACAGAACAGATTGAATCTGAGGTCAAAGGTTTTGCTAAATAAACGAGTTTTTTTCTTTATCCAATGCCCAGGAAGAGGGACAAATGCAGCTGTGCACAAGCAGAAGTGGTTATCAATGCCTGTAGTTTTCAGTAACCGGGACTGAGAATGCTCAAGTGCCTGCCCAGGGTACATAAAGACTCTTATTCTCAAACAACCACAAGGTGGAGCTGTAGCTCCGTGGCAGAGTGCTTTACTAGCGTGCACAAGACTTTCAAATTTGATCCCGCCAGCACAGCCAAAAGACCAGAACAAAGAACGAGCCTTATCGGTTGGCACCCCCTTTATTGTCATCCATTAGGGTGCGGGGGGTATGAGATCTTGGTTAGTAACACAGACTTGAGCAACTGCAGTTTTGCACAATCATGTAAGAGGCTTTAGGTAATCAGCACTCTCTTAATGTAAAGCTAAGGTTATACAAGGACCTTAAGAAAAGGTTCAGTTTCTAATCAGGATTATACACAAACTGTCGTCCCAGTGCAGTTTTCAGCTGAAATAAGGGAAGCTGATGGGACTAGTATAAGTACTATAGACGAATGAGTTCATTTCCATCATCAGTTTAAATGATGCAACCTGGGATGTCAGTATCCATACAAACAGGATATAAGGGCCCTCTTAATTAGCCAAGGCCTTGAAAATTGTGACTGAGCACATGAGTTGTCTGATGACAGACTTGTGTTTGCCCCTCTGCTGAATGCAAACGGGGCTGAAGCAGTTAGAGCTTAATTCAATGGATAAATTATGGACAATAAGAATTACTGAGTGCAAAGAGTGCTCAAGACACTGAGAAAAGACTACTGAGCACTGCTCAGAAAATTGGGACTGTGACTACTGCAGCAATGACAGAATAGTTTTTCCTTCCTTAAAGAAAGGAGACTTAGGAGATAGTACCTTGATGGTAATTCTCTGAAATGAAACTCTTGTTCAATTGGTGTTTCTTGATTAACATATGAGGGGCAAGAGTTCTTTGTTATAATACTATAAGTCCACAGACAAGTAGGACTGTACATTAAGTGAAAATGGGACACAGGCATTCAGCATGGAGGGGATAGAGACACGATATCTCAGTTTTCCAGGATAAGTAATGGACTTAATGGACACTGCATTCTTAGCGCTTAATCAATGAAGATTGGGATATCTCTAAGGAGAAGTGGGCTGAGGCTAGGGGACTGGGCCTGGGGCTAGGGCTAGGCCTGGGGCTGGGGCTAGGCCTGGGGCTGGGGCTGGGGCTGGGGCTGGGGCTGGGGCTGGGGCTGGGGTTAGGGCTTGGCCTGGGGCTGGGGCTGGGGCTGGGGCTGGGGCTGGGGCTGGGGCTGGGGCTGGGGCTGGGGCTGGACCTGGGGCTGGGGCTGGACCTGGGGCTAGGGCAGGGCTGGGTTGGGCTAGGGCAGGGGCTGGGGGCTGGGGGCTTGAAGCTGGGGCAGGGGGCAGGGGCAAGGCAGCAGTGTTTGCTAGGTCTTAAGAAACTGCATGCTACAGCAGCAAGAAACCACAAAAAGTTGAAATGTAGACATTAATGTTCCAATAGTAAGTCTGATAGAGGACATTAGACCACTACAACTCAAGGCTCCTGCCTGTTGAGTCTAGGCATGCATTGGTCATTGTAACATCAAAGATGGTTAGAAAAGCAAAGCCAGGACTGATGTAGATCTTCAAATACTCCTTTTGCTAGCCAGTCACAAAACTAACTTTAACAGTATCTGTGTCACAAGACTCTTAAATTTTTAAAGAGTTCAATAGATCAGTTAGAAAGAAAGTAAATTTAAGAACCAAATAATTTGAGTATCATCTGCCAAAAAAGTTAATGATTGTAAAAGAAACTAAAAACTTTGAGGACTCTGAAGCGACAACTCATTAAAGTAAACAAAGTCCCTAAATGCATTTCTATAATAATCACTCCAACTTGAAATGCAAGCACTAGCAAACCGCACTATCAGACTTGTTGCTGACATCGACAACAAATATACATCAAAATTCAACCCGAGCATTAGCCAAGGGTTAGATGATCCTCTGGAGGAAAGTAGAAGTCCACCTCTGGGCCAGTGATTTCTTTGTGGTCCATTATGACTCTGGCTAGGGTCGACCACTAAGCCCACAGCAGACCTGGAGAACTAGCTTGAGATCGCAGTTCTCCGCTTAAATTAGCGGCCGGGGAGTGAGTAGACAAGTCTTAGGCACTGAACCAATATAAAGGAATGGGGTGAAGCTTAGCTTGTACCACCATAGATAGAACACTGCAAAAGACTACCTTAGACAAATAGGAGGGCAAGTGAATAGGTCAACTGTTTGAAATGATCTTAGGTACTACTCTCGGGGAGATACTTTAACTTGACCTCATCACTGATTCTCTTCTTTCTTTTAATAGGTGGGGTTTCAGTCAGCAACCCACATGGACCTCAACCTCAGGAACCTCTAGCCTCAAGTCTCTCAAATCACATCATCATTCAACACCTCAAATGTTAGAATCACAAGCATGTGCTCTCGTACCCAGCTAGACACTTCAAATAACGATGACTAGAGACAGATGTGAGGTACCAAGGTAACTCAAGTCCTTGCAGGACAGTGAGTCTTCACAATCGACTACCATCCTCTACACGAAGTAGTAGGGCTCATTTTTGACTAGTTAAGTCAAGAGGCAACCAACACTTCCAAAGCAGTACCCATTTCTGATTAAGTCAGTGGGCTTCGAGTGGCACAAGGTAGAACCAACCACTTGCTATCTCAATGCACCAAATTCACCTTGGGCAAAGCCCTCAAAAACACTCTCAAAGCCCACAAAGACCCCTCAAAAGCCCGCCAAGGCTGTACCCCTTGAGGGTTGGTCACATGATAAACCGCCATCTTAGCCACTCAGGACCATGTGCCACATTGTCCCCTAGGCTAACTCAGCCACCAAACTACCTAATGTAAAAAACAAAGCGTTATCCTGCAGCAAGAGCTTGAGCTCCATCTTCTCTTATATAACCTAAATGCCCTACCTCCGTGCTAAATGTTAGAACCAAGATTGGGCTGTCGAGCTTCGGGCACAGGGTGCGAGACGCCATTTTGTAGACATTAACAAGCGTCCGTTAGAACTGGACAGAGCTCCCCAGCGATATCGAAATGTCCATTTCAAGCCCTATCCTGAAGTCCTGTACCTTTCACCTAACACCACACACGAACACAACAGCTCCTTGGTTTTTTGCTTTCGGGTACCACGATTCTTAAGAAAACCCACAAAGCAAGTCCAAACCCACACATAAAAAGCCTTTAGCTGCTGTAGCACAAATGATTGCCTCTGTCCAGTCCAGTGTCCACCTCGACTCCCTAATTCTTGGCTCGAGAATGGCTATATCATGCAGCAAACATAAAATGGCGGACACGGACTCTCCACGCCCTGAACACCCACTCAGCTCAAGCATAAAGTCATTTTCCCAAGCCATAGGTTCACTCACACACAACCAAATGACCAGCAGCAGCAGCAAGAGGCAAGAAAAAAAGGTATGAATATTCCAGATAGGGCAGTAACTCACAAAACCAACATTTCCATCCACTAAAAGCCCCGATGGGCAATGAAAACAAAATTTGAGCAGGTATCCACAGCCCCGATGGGCAAAAAGAAAACAAAAATTAAGCAGGTATCCGAGGCCCCGATGGGCAAGGAAAAAGCCTAAACCCAGGTATCCGAGGTCCCGATGGACCAAGAAATTTCAGTTTTTGTAAAAAGCAGGTATCCATGGCCCCGATGGGCTAAGGGGGGGAAAAAAAAAATAAAAGCAGGTATCCACAGCCCGGATGGGCAAGTTTTCTAAGACTAAAAAGAAGAAAAAGAAGAGGGGAAAAAAAAAAACCAAAAAGGATGAAAAGGCAGGTAAGTATCCACAGCCCCGTTGGGCATGGAGCGAGAAACGAAAGGACACACAGGTATCCGTGGCCCGGATGGGCAAAAATATAGAAATAGAGTAAAAGAAAGGTAAGTCCACACAAGAGGAGGCAACAAAGTGCCTGAGAAATATTCATCAAAAATGAAAATTGTCTAAATATTTAAAAAATATCAAAATATGAAGGACGTGTCAATAAAAGCCTGCCAGAACACATAAAATCTTCAAAACCATTTGGTGGACTCTTGATATATTTTCTTAAACACACCACAAGGCATGGTGGTAGGGGAACCAAAAATGTTCCCAGAGACCCTATCATATAGGGATAGACCCTTGAGGGTCCTCATATGCACGGAATACTGGCAAAACATGGCTGCAGCAAGCAGTTGCACGGTTTTAACAGACCGGAGCGCTGAAGGCGGAGAGATCAGAAGAGGAGTGGCCACAAATGCGGAAGATTACGGAATCTTATTGGAGGTTTAGCACAAACTATATTCTTTAAAAAGAATAATTAATATGTAGAATAAACATGACGGTACCAAAACTCAATGACAACCAAATTTCCTTTATTTTATGTGATATTGACGGAATCCTCTACTTTATAGCTTATGGGAAAGGCACATAAACGGTCAGACAATGTATGGTAGGTCACACATCATGTATATATGCATATTTGCTACATATCGTCTACTTGGATATCTCACCTTGTACGTCTTGGAGACGAAAAGTTCTCATGGATTAATTGGTGAGCTAGAGGTAAGAAAACAGAGGAGTTACTTCACAAAATGGCCCCGTAGTCCCTAAATTATCAGGCAGTCAAATTGGTTGTGAACTATTTGCACAGCAGAGTTTTGGGTCATCGTTTTCGCACTTTCTCTGGGGAATCTGATGACTCCAAACCTTGAACCAAAAATTCAGTAAAGATGTTTAAAGATGTTTACTCACTAGCAGTGACAGAAAATTAATTCCTAAAAGTCAAAACAAAGATTGATGGAATAGCTCAGTGATATAGTACTTGCCCTAGGGAAACAGTTAACTTAGAGAACTGTCAAATTTTATTCATTGAGAAACACTGGATAGCCGCCTGAAAGAGATTACACACCAGGTGTTAGAAAATCAAAGAATACACTGTCTTCTTGTTGATTCAACTAAACAAAGTGAATCTCATCTTACTCTAAATTATGTTTAGGCATCAGATGAATAACAAAGTGCATAAAATTGTTTTGCTTAGGGACCTTCCAAGTACCTGCAATTCACTAATCTAGACATCGTGGTAGTTCAGGTAAGGACGGAAGGTCTCTGTTACAAAAGAAGAAATTCTGTCTCAACAAAAGAAAATGAAAATAATAAATAAATGAATGTTACACACAGCCCGAATGAGCCAGCAGATGGCAGCATGAATCTTTCAAAGGCATTTGAAGCCTGACTGGGAGTACAAAAAGATTAATATCTGAATTGAAGATCAAAGGCTACTTTGACAACACCAAGTGAAAGAGTCAGAGTTTTCCCTACTTCAAGGCAATAATGCTAATGATGGAACAATCAGGAGGTACAGGGGAAACCTCCAAAATCATTACTAGTGATAATTAGTCAGAGATGGGAACATGTTACAGAAAAACAAAAAGATCAAAGAAGGGCTGTCTCCAAAATGTATGTGGCTTTGTATAAATGAGGTCTTCTAACTTAGAACTTGGGGGTACTGATCACGGTGTATACAAGCCAGTGTGCCATTTGCGGGGATGTCAAAGACAATCATCTGTCCTCTACATAGCTCCAATTCCTACAAACTTCATTATTCTAGCACATACCATATACTTCAAGGTATGTCAGGGTTGTGAGACATTCTTACACTAGAAGCATGAAATGATGTGTCAAAGCTCAGTTCATGTACACTTAACTAGGCAATTCATTGTACATTCTTAACAGAGATGAAGCGCACTATAGTGAAGCATCTTGTGTAAGATGGTATTGTTGAGGTCTTCTATAGGTAAATGTGAAGAGTCAGAGAAAAAGAAGATTAGGAGCCAAGAGAGAGGTGACAGGACCACTAAAGCACAGAAACAGGAAGGGAAGAAATGGTTCGCCAAAGCACAGAGAGACTGGAACACTCAGTCCTAGATGTCTTTATCAAGCCCTTTCTCTCAAGGCTCGGGTCTATGAAGAAAAAGAGTCTGAAATACTGTCAGCCAGAATCGGTGAATGACTCCAGGGAAACAACATCATTCAGACACAACAGGACTGGTTTGGTTTTGTTTTTTAAGGAAAAGAACATGAAAACATGAAGTTGGTTGAGTGAGGAAGAGTAGGAGGAAGGAAAAATGATAGAAATGGATGGTATGAAAAAGTTTTAAAGGAAGAAATTGATCTACATGACACCCAGCTTCAAATGAATAAACAAGTTATACAATGAGATACGATAGACTAGAGGCCCTAGAATCAAATATTACAACTATAGGCATTGGATTCTTGACAAAGGTGCCAAAAACCATATGTTTGAGACATACAGTCACTTCAAGTGATGAACAAAGGAGTCACGGCTACAGAATCGGCTGACCTGAGCTAGTGAGAGATCACTGGCTCTGATCTAATAAATGGGGAACCAAACTAGTCTCCCTTAATAAAGGTGACAATGGTGTGACGGACAGTATATGAGACCACTGGCAGTGGGTCCAAGATCTAACACGAATGCACAAACTATTCTATATGGAGAGATACCTTGTTCAGCCTAGACACAAGGGTGTGGGGGTGGAGAGGTGCTTTGGCCCTGCCTCAATGAGATGATGGGACAGACTTAGTAGACTTTTGAGGGGTACTCTCTGAGGACCAAATGGGAGGTAAGTTGAGGGAGGAGGGACCCAACTTCAAGTTTCTGACCCACATCAAGTGACTTGTAACCACCTATAATTCCAGCTCCAAAGGAAGTTTTATTCTGGCCCCCATGGGCACCCTTACAAATGTGGCATAAACATACACATGTACACACATATTTAGATAAAGTAGAGTGCTTACTCTACATGCACAAAGCCCTAAATTCAAATCCCCAGCATTCACATGAAAGTAGCCATGGAAGCACATGTCTTATCCCAAAATGAGCTTAAAGCCATAGGAGCAGAATGTTGGAGGCTATCCTTGGCTACATGGTGTGTTTGAGGCTAGTCTGTGCTATATGAGACCCGGTCTTTTCAAAGTACCATTTCTTCACCCCGTGAAATAATCGCAAGACTTGACAAGTGGGGTTGAACCGAGCTTAAGAGGCATTTACACACTTAAGGAAATAGCTTCCAGAGTGAAGAGTTAGCCTATAGGACAGCAGCCTTTTCTAACCATTCATATCTAGTTTTAAACATGTTCATTCACGTGTGTTTAGGGAGAGAGTACTCGCATGTGAGTGTTCTTGCCCATGTAGTCTAATTTGACCCTTAACAGTCACACCTGCCTATCAGAATAGTTCAAGTCAAAATTGGGCCAACATAGTTCAGCTGCGTTGCATGTGGCTTTTCTGTTCCTCTCTGAAGCTAATAAGTAAAAATACTAAATTTAAAAGCATCTTAAGTTCTCATGTGGATTGTTAGTGTCTTCTGTGACTCTTGCTTCTATAAACTCTAATAAATGGATTATTGCTAGAAAACTGTCTCACTAGCTATGTGCCTGGTGCCTTTATTCAGATGATGTGACCATGTTATGTTGTATTCACTGTTTACTTCCAAATCTATGACTAAAATTTCCTGTTTACATAACCACACTTCTAAGAGAAGCTGGTGCGCTCAGATGTGATGTAATATCCACGATTTGATGTCTTACAGGCACTGATGTAAAAGAAGCATTTCAGTGGGCATACATTTTCCAGTGATGCATACCCTCCTGTAACTGCCACACCGATTTTTTCTTCCAGCTGCTTTCCTTTACCTGCGAGAGGAGGCTAATAAGATACATGGTTTGCTTGGCTTGTTTGATATTCTGCGCTTTCTGAAACCATTTATTTCTGTGTATACAAATATACTGCCAGCATGAAAGTGAATCGCATTTGTGCCTGATGCCCACGGAATCCAAAAGCGTGTCAGGTCCCAAATGCTGGAGGTAAGGACACTTGTAAGATGCTCCATGGCTGCTAGAACCTGGATCCAGCGCCTTTGCAAGAACAGCAGGTGCCCTTCATCTCTGTCCCATCTCTCCAGCCCAAAAGTTCTTATTTGTCTTCGATAGATTCAGTGTGCACCGCCCCCCACCAACACCTGTAGCAGGTGGGAGAGCTGGTCCTGAGGTCATCAGAATGGGAGAGCCCCTCACTGGCTGCCACACTCTGGAGAACAGTGCGGGGCAGCACACTAGAGCTGACCCTGTTGGAGGGAGCACATGAGAAATGGTCCCATCCTTTCCTCCTCGCTGCATAGAGTGAAGTACTAGTAAGGTCACTACTGGAGAGCTCACCCCTTAGTGAGGATAGGGGAAAGTTGATAGGCTGTCCAACCCTGCAACCAGGCCCAGAACTCGGGTTAGCTCACACCATCTATGATCTGCTGGAGCATATGAAGGGACACAGCCTGCAGTTCCAAAACTACAGGATCTCCCAAACACAGAGCAACAACAGGATGTCCAAGCAAGGGCCCAGTATTGATAGTGCAACAGACACCAGAGGCCTCGAACCAAACCAATGATTCTTAATGAACACTTGCAAATAAGGATACATGGACTAAAGATTATACTGTATGACTCGCTGTCACACTACAGCTTCTACTACAACATTTTCCCCATTTTTTCTTTGCTCTTTTATTTTTTGGGGGGAGTTGCAAGGGCAGAGGGTAGCTATGAAATAATGGTGAGTTGGGTTATATGATGTGAAAGCCACAAAGGATAAGTAAGTTTTTAAAAATTTAGTTGGCCATATCTGATTTTTTTATTTGCTGTATCACTACTTTATTCCTTATACTGAGCTAACTATAACACACATAAGACGAAGGAAATTGTTTCTGTATACAAAACAAAAAATAACTTGGAAATATGAATGTAAACAAGAAGTAAAAGAAACATTGGCTACATACTAAATGATATCTATTTTATGAAAATACTAGATCACATATTCTATCCTGTGCATTTTGAAAAGATATATGAACACAAACTGACAAGATAAGCATACAAATTTTTTAAGTCTTCCCCAAACGATAAATGACAAAAAATGCAACTGAAAATATTAATATTTTACTTTTCAATTAAATGTCTTGAAATTTATCAGTTTTAAAAAATCATAATGGTCTACAGAGCAAGTTCCAGGACAGCCTCCAAAACAATACAGAGAAACTCTGTCTCGAAAAACAAAAAAAAAAAAAGTATAACTTAGAATATTAAAATTTGAAAGCCCATAAACTAAAATAATTGCATATTAAAGACCACTGGCAGTTCATATCTGATCTTTTCAACTTCCTTCATTGCATTAGAGTTTTATTCTATAGCTCTCTCAGGTGTTCCACGGGCTCATTTTTCAGGGTTAAATGAGTTGTCCTCTGTTGGCTCTTTGTTAGCTGCTTTCCAAAAGGCTTTGGTCCACCCGAACTTTCAAGGATGTTCCTTTGTAAGTTTTTGTGACTTTGGGGTTTGCAGAATCTGAACACTTTGTAGTGGCTGTGGGTGAACATCATACCATGGCCAGGATAAATGGGTCCTGGACAGAAATAGCAGTTCTCCCCATGGATAACAAACATGGAAACCTACATGCAATCCGCCTTTATCAGGGAAGGGGGAATGTAGTTTGAGGCACAGTCACATTTAGCTGCGGCTACCTTCAAAATTTTGGTAGCCAAGTATGGCCTTGAACTCCTGATCCTGCTGCCTCCACTTGCCATCATGGTTGACTCTGGTCATTTTAAGAACTAGACTTTGTGTGGTATGTATATATGTGTGTATGGTATGTTCATGTGGGTATATGCACATATATGAGTGTATTCCACGCTTGTTTGTATTGTTATATTCAGATGCTTGAGTGCACGTGTCAATGCTACACGCACACACATGTGTGTGTGCGCAAATACTTGCAGAAGCTGGAAAGAAATATCACATCCCCTGGAATTGGAATTACCAGCTGTGATTGGCATGAATGCATTTGGAGACCAGATCAGAGAGCAGCATCAACTGACCTACCCAGGACTAAATGAAGTTACAGACATACTACTGCCCTCAATTTTTTTTTTTGTAATAAGGACCTAAACTCAGATTGTCATGCTTGTAAGGCCAGCACTTTACTGACTGAATCAGCTATCCTGCTGTAACTAGACCTTTGAATTACTTGACATTTAAACATTTCAAAGTGTTTGGAGTCAGTCAGAAGCAACAAACATTTGGAGGAGTCAGACTTTATATTATTATATTTCTACTTTGTGATCTGAGCACGTTTTGAGATACTATCTCTTCTGGTTTTATATGAAGATGGGGGTGTCTTTGTCGTGAGAAATTTCCCTCAGAGTCTTAGGCTCTAGTACTACTCTCTGAAGAGAAAAACAAACTGCAGTGACAACTTCAAAAGAGGTACTTACAGAAATACAATAAATACAAATGAGCAGAGGTAGACGAGTGACTTACACCTGTAATCTTACCACTGGAGAGGCAGAGGCCGGAAGATCGCCATGAGTTTCAGGTCAACCTGAGTTACCCTATTTCAACAAGTTGAGGCTGATGAGATGGCTGGGTGTATAAAAGTGCTTGACATTGACATGCAAGCATGTAACCCTAACTTCAACTCTCTAGAACCCACAATAAAGCCAGATGCATAACCCCAGCACTACTACAGAGACATTGGGAGTTGAGGCAGGATACTTACCTGAAGTTTGTGGGCCAGCTAGGCTGGCATGCATAATGGAAAAACAAACCGTGTTTCAATCCACTGACACGTAAGGTTGTCTTTGGCTTCCCCTACATGATCTCACCTAACGAGTGGTCAGGCCAGAAGATCAGCAGGGTAATCATCACTTAATTTCTGTACATTTCTGGTGCCCTTTGACCTATGACTAAGAAACAAGTTCCTTCCATGAGGTTGTTCTGATTTAAGCTGGATATGTTGGCTCACTGCTGTAATCCTGGCATGTTGAAAAGTTGATACATAAAGATCAACGGCTCAAAGTTATCCTCAGATATAGCAAGTTTGTGGTCAGTCTGAGCTTCATAAGACCCTGTCTTTTGCCAGGCAATCATGGCACACACTTTTAATCCCAGCAGTTGGGAGGTAGAGCCAGTTCGAAGCCAGTTTTGCCTACAGAGCCAGTTCCAGGACACAGAAACCCTGTGAAAAAAAAAAAATCAAAGCCAAAAACAAGCAAACAAAAAACAAAGACCCTCTTTTAAAAAGCAAAACCAACCACACCAACAAATACATGTATGTATGTATGTATATCAGGATAGTAGCACATACATAATATCATGAAAGCAGTCAGCCTGGAATTTGTCCATTATAGTGGGCTTCTGTCCTTGTTACTGGGGGTCCTATGCCTTGGGACTCCTTAGTATGAAGTTCACTGCCACTTACATATTCTGAATTTAAATGAGCACATTTTATTTTTAACGGTTGCTTAATTAAGGTGTATGGGTATGGAGGCCAGATGAGAGTGTCTAGTCTCCTGGAGCTGAGGTTAAAAGCAGTTGTGAGCAACCTGATACAGGTTCTGGGAACCATAACACAGTCACACATTCATGCACACACACATACTGACATCAGTCTTTAGTTATCCATCTATTGTGAGAAGCATGATGTTCAAACGTTTTCCAAGAGTCTACAGTGTGGTTTTTTTTTCATTTTTTTTACTTCATATATTTCAAAACCAAATATTTTAATCTTCATATGCCACTGTTGGTTACCGTTTTTCATGCTTTTGCTGTCATAAACAATAATTCTTTGCACTATATCTGAAAGATGTTCACCTACACCTCTTGGGTTATTCTAGTATCATGCACTGAGAAGATTGTCTTTGCTCCACTGAATTGCTTTTGCAGCTTTGGCCAACTTGGCAGCTTGAAGGGGGTAAGGATGTGGGGTGCTGAGGGGAAGCACTGCCTGACCACCTGACCAAGTTGCTCAAGAGAAAATCAGGTAGGTAAGTTTGATGGTGATGGGACAGAAGGAAATCAGTGTCCTTGTAACTTGGGGGTGACTGGGGTTCTCTCGTTATTTTCTTGCTGAAGGGGCCTTTTCTTTCTCAAAGACTAGGAAGAGATCTGTTAATCCTGCTCCCAAAAAGTGGAAATGAAGCCAAAGAAAAAGAAAGAAAGAGAAATCCTCAGACCAAAAGTTACTAGCCTAAGGAAAGCAGGGAGCAACCAGGAACAGAGGGAAAAAATGAACCAAGAAACTGGCTGAGCAAGAAACTGGCTGCAGAAAATGGAGACTGAAAACCAGAAACCTCTCTGTCAAGAGGAGAGAACCACATCTGCTCTTCACACCTGTCTGTCTTGTCAGGGTCCCCATCTCCCTTCTGGCATAGCCGGAGGATTGCTTTTAGCAACTGTGTTGTAAATGCCAATGCATGCTAACCACTTAGTCCTCCAGCTCCCCACTATCTTGCACACACTTCTCCCTTTCTCCAAATCTCTCTCTCATATGCTAGTCTATTTGCTTTGGTTTTGTGCCCCTCTGAGATTCATCAGAGTCATCTGTGTGACCCCAGATTTGGTACTACCTGTTTGAGGCTGGTGGATTCAGTATAGGAGACACAACTAAAAGCAGCGGTTCTCCTCCCCTCAAATCTATAAATAGTCAATAGTTCAGAGGTATAGCGCAGGGCCTGTCCCCTTACTTGACTGTTGGTACGGCGGGACTTGTGTTGGTTCAGTATAGGTAACTAAAGTTAGTGCGAGTTAATGATTACAGTGATTGTATTGAGTACAGAGAAAGGCATTTTTACAGCCCTTCACCCTATCTTCTGCCTAAACATGATCTGAACAAGAACGACACCAGTGGACAGGCTAATATGGAAGGGGGATTCATGAAGTCTTAACCCTAGAAAAAGAACTACAGGCAACTACGGAAAGCTGAGAGCAGAAGAGATAGTCTTTCCCAGGGAAGACCACACCAATTGGTTATCCAATACCAAGTGATCAGTCCTGAAAACATACACACAAGTGACATTGTATAGACTGAGCAGCTGTTCGTATATTTAGGAACACACACAATTAAAAGGAGGCCATGAATTTGAAAGAGAGAAATAGGGGTGGCAAGGTGTGCATGGGCAGGTTTGGAGGGAAGAAAAGGACAGGGAAAATGATGTAATTTCATTATAATGTCAATAAATAAAAAATTTTTTTAAATCTCCTAACTATTGACATGCTTACTATGTGACTGAGAATGACCTTGAACTGATCCTCTTGCTTTTATTTGGGGGATAGTCTGTCCTGGAAGGTTTTGCTCTTCTTGGAGTCCAAAATGACTAAGCTCTGAGCTCTTAATGAAACAAAATAATTTAGGAAGACACTCCTTCAGCTATCAACATGCCTATGCATGTCAAGCAGGAGTTGGAGACAAAGGAAAAGACACACCCAAATTCAGTTCTTTTACCCTGTTGGTTACTTTGTGAAGCCAAGTGTGGCATCAGTGCCTTCAGCCAAAGCAATTTCTGAGACCCTATTATAACAGGACATAAATCTCCTACAATTAACTTAAATTGTTGGTAAGAAAACAGATCTATTTCTAAGACCGATAACATATTGTCTCCTCCTATATTTCGGATGCAACTTCACGGTTTGCTTTTGGTTTTGCATTTCTTTTTTCTTTAATGTAGTTTCATGTAACTCAGGCTCACTATGTTGCTGAAGATGAGCTGAACTCCTAATCCTCCTTCCTCACCTTCTCAAGTGCTGGGATTGCAGGTGTGAACCACCCTGTTCAATTTTTCCTTGATTTTCATTAGAATAGAATAGCTTTTCTACGGAAAATGTTTTTCTAGGGCTGGTAATATGACATAGTGGTAGAGCTATTGCTTAGCATGTAATTGGAAGGCCGTGGATTCAATCCTCAGTAACACACACACACAATTAGGTTTAGGTTCGAGTCCTGCCTGCAAGGCTGTAAGGAGCTTGCCACAAAGCCTTACACCTTGAGTTCAATCTATGAAAGAAAGAAACTACGTGGTGGAAGTAAAGATGCGATGGTGGAATAAACTACGCCTCCAAGTTCTCTACACACGGGCTGTGGTATGCACACTCCCACACATCCTCCCTCTCTCTCTCTCTCTCTCTCTCTCTCTCTCTCTCTCTCTCTCTCTCTCTCTCTGTCCAAGTTCTCTACACACGGGCTGTGGTATGCACACTCCCACACATCCTCTCTCTCTCATAAACACATACTAAATAATTAAACATAAAAATACATTTAGAAGCTATAGATCATTTACATGAACATAATTAAAGATAAAAGAAATACTTTTAGATGGTAAAGGATTTTAAGATGGTAAAATAAGGTTTTTGTCCTAAAACTGAAAAACTGTTCCAAAATTAAAATAAAGGGATGATGGGGAAACAATCCAGAAAGCATAATCTTATTGCAAAAGGCCTGAGTACGTCATAAGAGGTTTGTAGAAGTTAGAGTCAGACATGGTGGTACACACGAGGATCCTAGAACTGGGCAGGTGGAGGCAGGAGAATTGGAAATTCATGGTTATTTCTTGCTATGTAGTAAGTTGAGGCCGGTCTGGAATACCTGAGGCCCTGTCTCAAAAACAAAATAACAAAGATATATACACGATTAATAAAACAAATCTTCTTAAAAAAAACTTAGCTAAAGTTAGCCTTTAGTTCATTTCACCTGTTTTGCCACAGACATTAGAACAAAGTTGGAAAAGCAGCCAGCGGAGCTTCCAGGTACCCCTAAATTAACTTTTGTATTTGGCTTGTTGAGTTTTTCTTTTAGATTTGTTTTTATTGTTCTATATGTATGAGTAGAACACTCATATGCATATATGTAGGTCTGTGTACCACATGTATGCCTGGTGCCTTAGGAGGTGATGTATCTCCATGTGGGTGCTGGGAACTGAACTTGAGTCCTTTGCAAGAATAAGTGCTCTTACACACTGAGCCAACTCTCCAGTCCTGTATGGGTTTTTAACAACAAAGATAAAGTAGAAACCAAACAATGACCCATGGAAAAATCATATACACACAATAGGCCAGGAATATAAGAAGGAGAGAGGGAGACGGAGGGAGAGAGGGGGGGAGTAAGACGGAGGAAAGGAATGGGGGAGAATATGTAATTATATTTGAATTAATTTTTAAATGAGAGGCAAGGAGGTGATTATAGTCACATGAGCATATCAAATTGATTGTCTTGGCCCTAGAGAGCAATCTGTTTGCACAGGCAAATAAACTTGTCATCTCAGAAACTCCAGGCAGAAGACAGAGGATTCAAAAAAAAGGCAAATTATTGTCACAGTTGTGGAAAAGAAAACCCAGTACAAGAAAAGACCTGCCTACAATGGACTTCGAAGAAACCAGTAGAAGGGAGAATGTGTTATCCTCTGGAGTGGGGACAATCCTTAGCTCCATGACAGCTGTCCAAGGTTTCCTAGCAAAGCCTCCCTCCAGCGACTGCAGACAAGCATGGAGGCTCCTTGAGTAACTTTCAAAAATGGTTTAAATTAAATATGTGCATATATGTGTATAAGTATGGGTACATACTGTGTGTGTGTGTGTGTGTGTGTGTGTGTGCGCGCGCGCGCGCGCGCGCGCGTGAGCATGCTAAAGTGCACGAATCACAGTACTCTTACGGAGATCAGAGGGACAGCTTGCCAAATTCAGTTCTCTCCTTTCCTCCAGCTGACCCTGTGAATTGAACTCAGGTCATCAGGCTTCTTTAGTAGCAGGAGCCTTTATGTGCTTGGCCATGTCTCTGGCTCTTGGGAAATTTTCAAAAAATATTTATTTTTGAGTTTTATTTATATACTTGCCTGTATGTTTGCCTGTGTAGCGGTATGTGCATGTGAGTTCAGCTGCGGGGGGTGGGGGGTGAGGGGGGGTCGGATCCCCCTGGAGTTGCAGGCAGTTGTGAGTCCCTCACCCTGACATGGGTGCTGCTCTTTTGCAAGAGCAGTAAGCACTCTTAACCACCGAGTCATCTTTCCTGCCCCAGTGCCTGTTGGTGCAATAGGTAAAATGAGAATCTTCTTTTTAAAACGGGGGTATTGTTCTCTGCTTTTATTGATAACCCAGGCTCCCTTTCTAATTTGTGAAGTAGCCAGTATTGGTGAGAATGCCCAAAAGCCAAAGGAATTATTGTCAGCTTTGTCCCTGTGAGTTGTCCTATAAATGTCCTAAAGGTAAGGGGTAACACTGAAAGTCTTTCTCCCAAGTTAGGAGACATTCCCAGGCCTATGGTTGACATCTCCAGCTAACCTCTGTAACATGTGGATAGCCACAGTAGTTACAGCAACTATAGCAATGCCAGCGACTAAAACGACAGACACTGCTCTGGTACAGGTCTCAGAATAGAACACAAACGCATCTACTAAAGAATCAGAAAGGAAAAGAAATTCCGGAGGAAAAAAAAGAAGACAGATTAAAGGAAAGATGGGCAAGAAGAGGGGGAACTATAAAAGGACCAAACACAGGCAGCGTGAGGAACCGCAAGTGGTCAGTCATCTGCGGAAGCAGCAGCTGACCATCCGGGGCACGTAGCTGGCGGAGCCATTTAGGGAGAGCTCGGAGCGGCGCCGGCGCGGCGCGGCACGGCGCAGGGCCTTTTTGGCTGTGACGCATGCTCATCTGTGTCCCCCTATGCCCCCCCTTTCTCGGCGTCAGACACCCAGGCTTGTATAACTTGTAAAATGGCGGCGTCGGGACATCTGTGCACTTCCCGGGATTAGCAAAGCAGCTAAAGGATGACTGTGTAAGGAGAGTGGAGACACTGTCCAGTTAATGTGTCCGGGTGAGTGCCGGGCCTCATGCTGGTCAGCGAGGTGGCCGGGGCAGCGGTCACCACTTCGACCACGTGTTCTGCCGAGCGGGAGGAGTAGTCGGCAAGCATATCCTAATTCTCCCCTGCTTCACAGGACATGATAAGTGATCAGTCTCTGCATCACCCAACCTCCACTGATGAGTCTGTCAGGCCCATGAGATCGATTCCTATGAAAGCGCCCTCTTAGATGTTTCCTTTCACTTTCCTTTGTCTAATTGGGGTTTTAGGAATACCGCCTATCTCCAAAATGGAGTGTTTACTCCAGCTCCCCAGAGACCTCTTGGACCTCAGCTCTTTCTTATCAGAACTTAGTAGTTCGATAAACTAACTTGTTTGTAACATCATGCTTTTTTTTTTTTTTTTTTTTTTTTTTTTTGGTTTTTCGAGACAGGGTTTCTCTGTATTGTTTTGGAGCCTGTCCTGGAACTCACTCGGTAGACCAGGCTGGTCTCGAACCCACAGTGATCCGCCTGTCTCTGCCTCCCGAGTGCTGGGATTAAAGGCGTGTGCCACCAACGCCCGGCCATGCTTTTTTTCTATGTCTTTCATATGTACCACAAATGAGGACCCTGGTATATAATAC